AAATTCGACTGTCAAGTAATGAAAATAGAGTCGACTTTGACTAGTCGTTGATGGCGTCATACACCTGAAGCGGTGGGGGGGTTCGTTGGAGTTTTTGACAATTAAAATTGCGCCCACATTTTCAAAGTTAAACACATCTCTTCTAACAGCGGTAGTTTCTGCATCTATACTGCTCCACTTCAGCTCTCTCTCCCCTCCCCATGTGCAGTGTGCATGCAGCCTCTCAGAGTTCCTGCTGCTCTAAACATTAAAATAATTATTTCATTTTCTGTTCCTCACTTCTGATAACCTTCAGTGGTGTCTGTTTGTTGCAACCACCAGGTACAAAAACTAGCTTGTTTTTATTTGACAATTTTTCTGTCCTGTCTGTTTATTATCTTCCTGCATCTCCTCTCAATCCTAAAGAAAAACTGCTACCTGGGTTCATATAAATTATAATATATTCACCTCATGAGTTACCTTTGAACTGCAATTCTAAATGATCTACCGACCGCAAAAACAGCGGAGTGCGCGCTGCTCGCCGACCGCATCAGTGAGGTGAAGTTATTGGAGGACAAAACAGGTGATGCGCCCCGCTCCACAGCAGCGAAACGCATCAGGCACAAAAAAAAGACATAAAACATCAAAGGAAATGAGCCGACATGAACGATCGCGTGTTAAATTTGTTTTTGAGGTGGCGACAACCAATTTGATGCTACTGTGGCTGTGCTCAGGATGCAGATGTCTGGAGCGCGTCAACGATCAGAGCTGCTTAAATCTGCTCTCAAAAGCCACTACTTCACCGTCACTTTGGTACACAATCCTATGGACAGAACTGTAGCTGGCCTGATTGTTTACAAGGTTTATCGTTTTGATTGAAACATCTTTGGTTCATGTGGTTCTGACTGCCACATGCATCGCTAAGAAAAATGTCCTCATAAATTGGAAAAATAGAGATACTCTTTGCATTGATACCATATAGAAATCTTTTGTTAGATCACATTACACTGCTTCAAATCAATCTCTCTGGGCTCCTTTGATCGGTTCCATCACATAGCAATGATGGGGGGGGGGGGGGTCATTAATATTGTCCTGCAGGATGATGTGGGTGATGGGGTGGAGGGTTTGAGTTTGGAGTATCCAGACATTCCCTGGAGGTGGGTTCACTGGGGGTGGGGGGTGGGGGTGGTGGTGGGGGTCTTGGTGATGGGTTGTTGGCTGGCGGATGCATCGCCCCAGAGTGGGTCTGGGTGGGTGCCTGGGGGCTCGGGGTGTGGGGGCGGCCAGCCCCGTGTGGGGATCTGCGCGGGGCCTTGGGGATTGGGTCCTGACATGTATGCTGCCGGAAGAAGGCAGGAACATGCGGACGTGCCTGGCCCCGGCCCCGCCTTACATATTCTATTAGGACTTTTAATTATTCTGAGCATGTAGTGTTTTTATGTTTTGGATAAGTTAGGTGTGGTTAAATCCCCCTCTGTCTAAAACCAAATTTCTCCCAAGGGAGACAAATAAAGAGCTTTTGGGTCCAGCGTGTCCTGGGTCTTGCTTGGGTCGCCTCCCACTTGGGCGTGCCTCGAACACCTCACCAGGAACGCTACTGGACATGTTCTACAAGTGTCTTTAACAAACATATAATAAAATAATTGTTTCAAATGAAATTACATTTAGGGGTGCTGGGAGATGGGCCCATGATGTGGCTCATGTGTACTTCCTCAAACAAGCACCCAGAGGTTTTCCCCCAGAGTACGACTCACAAAGCATTTATTCCTACTACTGCAAATGCAATAAAATACAAGGAACAGTTGAGTACATCTGCAAAAACGCACAATGCATTGTGTCTGCAGGAGAAAACAGTCAGCGGGGGGTGGGGGTGGGGGTGTTGGGGGGCAGAAATCCTGATTTTTCAGTCGACTCGACTGGACACGGTTCAGGTAAAGCTGCAGTAGGTGGGCTAGTGAAGGAAGGACGGCCCAGACAAGAAGAAAACACCGTTCGCTTGTTACGTCAGAAACGGTTAGATTTATCGATGAGGGTCAGGGATTTAAGCTGACGTTACACTATAAAAAATACCAACAGAAACAAGACAAATCATTCCAACGGAAAGAACAGAAAAACCGGATGTCTGCTGTGTTACCGCTGGACCTCCACCACCCTCTCCTGATTCTGCTCTTATTCCCGGAATCCACTGGTTTCCCTCTTTCCTTCCCTTTCCTTACATTTTTATGACAGTTGTTTTTCTCATTTTCCAACACTTTTAATCACTTAAAAAATCTTTTTATATTTTAATTTTTTGTTCTTGTGAAGCACCTCGTGATTTTTATCTATCAAAGATGTTTTTCTTTCTTACAAAGATAGTAATCACGTTAACAGGAAGGAAATGCTCTGACAGAACACCCGCTGCCCTTCAAAATAAGAGCTGGAATTACATATTAATGGCACTTCAAACTGAACTGGGATTAAAATAATAAACATGAAATGACAAAATAAAACTAAAAAACAACCAGGAGTTTACTGTGATGATGTAACAATGCAGGACCTTGCGGTGTGTTCTAACAACACCGTAAAACAAATAAATAGTTTGTTTTATGAGTAAAACAGCAGAATCTGATGCTGGTGATGTGCAGCTGTTTGGGTTTGGGTCACCATCTCCTGATGAAAGTCTCTCTGTGGAAATTAGGGCCAAGTTGGACTTTAATCCCCAGGGATTGACTGGCAGGCTGGCAGGCACGCCCTGTGTGTGTTTGTGTGTTTAAGAAGGTAAAAATGATCAACTGGGTTTAAAAAGCAATTTGTTTGGAGGAATCTGCTTATCAGAGATAATTAAAGCAAATTTGAGAGAGATGTTAAATCCCTCTCTGTTCTCCTCTTTCTTTCTGTTGACGTCACAGTTTGACATTAATGAGAGGCGTCGGTAAAATAAACTCTTTATGCTCTAAAGATTATATTTAATCAGTCAAATCCTGGCTTTCTGAGCCAGTCGGGATGCTGCTGCTGCTTCAGCCGCAGACCCACAGACTTTAACTGTCCTGAAAAGGGAAAACGAAAGGTCTACAGATGCAGTTTGATTCAGTTATTTTCATTTAATTTAAATCAGCAGTGAAAAGCCCCAAACAATGAAAGTAATTATTTCTATTCCTAAATTTTTCTTATTATATAAAATCCCGGATTTTATTGTAATTTTGACTAATCGTCGCTTTTGTTGAGGCTCATTTGAAATCATCCATATAGAAATGCTGATTTTACCGTTTTTCTGCCTCATGCTGGCTTTCTTTTCTTCTTCAAAGGAGAAACCAGATGATTATTTTATTTATCTAACAGATTCAGGTTTTCTCTCAGCTCCATGGCCGAAAACGTCATCAACCAGTGGTCAGGCTGAAACAACGTCATAATTAAAAAGAGTTTTAAAGTCATTAGTTGTGGAAACTTCCCTTTGAAACCTTTCATGTAAAACTGGTTTTAGTTTTAGCTACAATGAGCCGAGACAGACCCTTACTATTAACCTTATATTATGTTAATATATAACATACAAGGTTATTATTAATATAAAAAAATAATAATAATAACACTGGTAATAATAATAATAATAATAATAATAATAATAATAATAATAATAATAATAATAATAATAAATTATATAAATGACATTATTATTACAATTTTACTGTTATTATTATTAAAATTATATGACTCTGTTTATATGACTTCATAATAATAATATAAATGGCATTCTTATTACTATTATTGTCTTTTTTTGTTATATTATTTATATGAATATTATTTACTGATAGTAATAAACTTCCATTTAAAACCTTTCATGTAAAACTGGTTTTAGTTTTAGCTCCAATGAGCCGAGACAGAACCTTAGAAACAAAGCACTTTAAACATGGATCAGACGGAATACAAATGTACACAATAAAAGGTTTAAAACTGTAAATCAGCTGTAAATATTCACGTTTCATTCATTTATTTTGTCCCTTTTTAACCAAGCAGGTCATGTCCAACAACCATTGTAATCCACCCCAACTCAAACGTGGCTTAATTCTGCTCTACAGAACCCCGTCCGAACTCAGACACTCAGAAAAGGAATTGTCTGATTTAAACTTGACTTTTCATTCTGATTTCATTGTTTCAACAAAGCTGCAAACTCTTTGTGGAAAAGTAAAAAAAACAATACATTCATTCATTTTTTAGTTAAAGCTTCTGCTGACCATAAAGGCAACTTCTGATCATAACATTATACAATAATAATAATAATAATAATAATAATAATAATAATAATAATAATAATAATAATAATAATAATAATAATAATAATAATAATAAGAAGAAGAAGAAGAAGAAGAAGAAGAATGAAGTTATAAGAAGGGGTACGACTTAATAACAATATTATAAATGACATTATTATATTATTATTGTCAATTTTATTGTTATTATTATTATTTAATGATAATAATAATGAACAATATACATTTCCATTATATTGTTATTATTATAATTATTATTACACGTTTACTACTACTACTACTAATAATAATAATAATATAAATGACATCATTATTACTATTATTGTCCATTTATTATTATTTATATTATTATTATGATTTTAAAATAATAATATAAATAATAATAATAATAATAATAAAAATGACAATATTATTTTCTTATTGTTATGATTATGATTATTACTATTATACTTGTATTACTACTGCTACTAATAATAATACTAATACTACTACTAGTACTACTACCACTACTACTACTATTACTACTACTACTACTAATAATAATAATACTAATATAATAATAATAATAATAATAATAATTATTATTATTATTATTATTATTATTATTATTATTATTATTATTATTATCTCCCTCTCCCACCCACACACGCGCACACACGCATCGTTTTGGAGGGAAACGGGTGGCAATTAATCCCCTGGGATTGACCCCCCTTCCCCGTGTGCTCATTGGCCCCCCCTCCGCCCCTCCCGCCGCCCTGGTTCTATAAATTGGACCGGCTGCCGGCCCGGTACCATCTGATCTGGCCAGGATGACCGAACTCAGTGAGGAGAAGCCGCGGGTCAAGGTGCTCTCCCCGGGCTTTGGGATCGACAAGGCTCGCCTGCACGGCCCCGGGTTCCGGTCCAAAGGGTTCGCTATCACTGACCTGCTGGGCCTGGAGTCGGACCTGCAGGCGCGGCAGCCCGGTTCCGTCCCGAGCTCGGGCCTGGCCGCGGGCCCCGTACCCGGGGCGGAGCCGCAGGGTCCGACGGGCGGACTGGGCGGGTTTTCCTTCCCGGGCGGTTCGCTCCCGCTCGGGCTCGGGTTCTTGTGCAGCCTGGCGGCCCAGCAGCCCACCGGAGCCCCCTGCTTCCTCCCGGGCCACCTGCCGTTGCTGCAGGCCCGGCCCGACGCCCACTACCTGCAGAACCTGGAGGCTCAACGCGACGCTTACTCCGGTACGAGTCTGCTCGGAACCAGAACCTTGTTTGGCTCAGATTGGATTAACAATTCGGTTCGGGTTCTGAAGAGTTGGACCCTAAAATCAAATCAACGCGAATGAACAAAACAATTGGCATCGAACCAGAACCAGATGTGCTTTTAAACTGGAACTAGATGATTTCTGTAGTTTCGAATAATCTCTATGTCTTTTTGGGTCGGCTCGGTTCGGTTCAGTTGGTCCCGCTCGGTAATTTGTTGGGTCTACATCCCGGTCCTCCCAATCCAATGTTGTTTCTGCCGCTCCGCAGATGAAGACGTTCTGTCGGACCGGAACGAGTCCAAAAGCTCCGGAAACTCCCAGAAGAGGAAGAAGCGGAGACACAGGTGAGAGGGATCCGGCTCGGTTCCGTCTGTTCTGTTTCTGACGCTGATGTTGTCAATAATAATAATAATAATAATAATAATAATAATAATAATAATAATAATTACAATAATAATAATAATAATAATAATTACAATAATAAAGTTATTATCATAATAAAGTTATTATCATAATGGGTTATGTGATGTATTAATAATAATGATTATGATAATAATAAAGTTATGATATGAGCGGGTTATATGATTTACTATTAATATTATTATTATAATTAATAATAATAATAGTAATAATAATATTAAAACAACAACAACAACAATAATAATAACGTTATTATCAGAGGGGTTGTATTATTATTTTTCATTATTATTATTATTAATTCGAATAACAATAATAACGTTATGATCAGAGGGGTTATATGCTTTATTAATAATGATAATAATAATAACGTTATTAAATAATAACAATAATAATAAAACAATAATAACAATAATACCGTTATGATCAGAGAGGTTTAATGATTTAATAATAATAATAAAATAATAATAATGGTATTATAAATAAATGATTCAAATAGAAACTGAAATAAATTAGTCTTTTATTATAAACATGAATGACAGTGAATGAGCTTAGTTTTTCTTTATTTTTGATTGTTTTGTAAATAATCTAAACACAAAATAGGATTTTTAAGCAATAAACAATTGTATTTTTTTAACAATCGTATCCAATCAGATTAAATCATTAATGGCAGATGGCAAAAAATTAAAGATCAATTTTAAAAAGAGAAATTTTAACAATCAAATCAAAATAATAAAGTAAAAGGAAATTCACTCTGAGCTTGTTGGACATAGTTTATGATGGATTACGGATTACGGACTTTTTGAACTGAGGGCGCCTGCAGCCCGGCGAGGAGCACAGGTGAGTTTACCTGGTGGTTCTGGTCTCTGCAGGACGGTCTTCACGTCCCATCAGCTGGAGGAGCTGGAGAAAGCCTTCCATGAAGCTCATTACCCAGATGTGTACGCCCGAGAGATGCTCGCCCTGAAGACCGAGCTTCCTGAGGACCGAATCCAAGTGAGTGCACACCAGGATTTGGTCCGACGTCATCAGTCAGTGTCTCTGTCATCAGAAACAAGGACAGAAGTAAACTTCAATCATTAAGGAAAGGATTTTTAACAGAGTAGCCTGTACTACTTGGTCGTTTAAAAACTGTGGTTTTATATTCATTAATACTTGTTAGACTTTGTTATTCAGGAGTGGATTTGGGTTCTGGTCCAGCCCGTAGTTTAGCTGTGATTGGTTGGCCTGTGTTGTTGCTTGCTGAAGCTGAAGCTCTTGTGCTCCAGGTCTGGTTCCAGAACCGACGGGCCAAGTGGCGGAAGCGTGAGAAGTGTTGGGGCCGCAGCAGCGTCATGGCGGAGTACGGGTTGTATGGAGCCATGGTCCGACACTCCATCCCGCTGCCAGAATCCATCCTGAACTCCGCCAAGAACGGCATGATGGGATCCTGCGCTCCCTGGCTGCTCGGTGAGCCGCATGCACGTCAGTGTCACGCACACACACCACACCGGCATCAATACACACTCACACACATACACACACATGGAAATGATTTCCAGTTTTACTTCTCCGTTGGTGTGAGTGTTTTAGAGCAATTCCCCGCCAGGACAGCAGGGAGAGTAGACCTTTCCTGGCGGCTCTGCCTCTCATGACAGTGATGTTTTCTCCCTTCTTTGATCTTTTCATTTAGGTGCTTTTTATCTCTGTTTCTTTTCTTTCTTCTTTTATTTACTTTAGCTTGTAAACACACGTGTTGAAGAGCTGTGGATTTAGATAGGAGTTTATGGGGTTGATACGGACGCTTTTCTTGTTCCTATTAATAATAATGCATTGAACTTATGTAGCGCTTTTCTAGACACCCAAAGACGCTTTCACACACTCTCACATTCACACACTGCTAGTGATGGTAAGCTACTTGTAGCCACAGCCGCCCTGGGGAGGTCTGACAGAGGCGAGGCTGCCATTTGGCGCCGTCGGCTCCTCTGACCACCACTAACACAGGCAAGTTTGGTGAAGTGTCTTGCCCAAGGACACAACAGCAGGATACCCCTGGCGGGAGCTGGAATCGAACCCATGACCCTCCGATCATGAGGCAACCCGCTCTACCACCTGAGCTACTGCTGCCCCAGTTAAAGTTTGTGTAAAAGTAGTATAAAATAAAGTTTGTAAATGCAAATCTACTCAAGGAGCAGCGTAAGCTTTCACACAGCTGGAACTGTCTGATCTCCTGGAACAAAAACTGTTGTTACAAAGAATTCAGGAGCGAAGGGGCCGCCATGTTCTTGGGTGGACCGATGATAGACGTGCACTTCCCCTTGCATTCAGCTGCAAAGACTAATGAAACAATTGAACTCTATTCCGTCCATGCCTTTCGGAGAGGCCTTGAATTAGCGTGTGTCCACACCTCCGCAGACAGAGAAGTATAAACTTGACGCAGCAACAGCTGATCTGATCATGTGACACAATGAAGCTCTGCTGACTCTATTTTATGTTAAAACAAGCAATCGGATGTTTTCTGTGAAACGTCGAACTTGACTTGCAGTCTGAACCTGCTCTGGCTCCACCCACACAGGTATGCACAAGAAGTCTATGGAAATGGCCAAGAAGTGTTCGAGTCCTCCAGCGTCTGACTCAACCCGATCAGAACCCTTCTGTGACGCTTCAGACAGGCGAACCAGCGAGGCACAGGAGGAGGAGGACCTCCCAGAGGAAGAGATGGAGGAGGAGGTGGCAATCGACCTGTCCAGCTCCGCCAAACAGCCGCAGGAGGAGGACGGCGGCTGCACAAAGACCGCCACCTCACCACAGCCTCAGAGTGGCAGTGACTCAGATGAATGCAGCTGAAAGTAGGAGGAGTCTGAGGAGAGAACAGGAATCTGATTGGCTCTTCTTTCAGGAAGCTCAGCCAACGAACAGCTACAACGTCACCTGTTGCTATACATTAAAAACTTAATTAGTGTTTTAATTTTTTACAGCTTGTGTGAATTGTGACGTTGATACAATCAAAGTGTTGCTCTCACAGTTAACCAGATATTGGCCAATCAGAACAAAGCATTTGCTTTATGGAGGCGGGTCTTAAAGAGACAGGTGGGGAATGACCTGAGGAGTTTCAGGATAAACCACCAGAAGCTACAACAGGACTGAAATTACCTTAAACTTGCAGTATGAAGCATGACTTGGACTGTTCCCATGACTAGAGCTGTTCCCATGACTAGAGCTGTTCCCATGACTGGAGCTGCTCCCAGTCACAGAGCTGCACTTGGGTCAGAGTTCCAGTGGCTTTGGCTGTTACATTATAATAAGAGAAAATATTGCACATTTGCTTGGGTCAGGGATTCCGAAGCTCTTTACAGTACAATCATTCACTCACTGGTGCTGATGAGCTACATCAACCACCACTGGCAGGCAAGAAGGGTGATGTGTCTTGCTCAAGGACACAACAACTGCCACAAACATAGCTTGGGTATTAACTGGAAACCCACTGGTTACAGGGTGAACTAAGCAAAGCTGAACCACCATTGCGTGGTTTACCCTGACTCAGTTCATTTGCCCATAAAACCATTGTACATGACCTGAACCATTTTTAGGACTTGGACCATTTCCTATGACTCGGACGTTGATCTCAGGCCGATTCATGAGTAATTAAATTATGAACATTCTTTCTGTGCTTGTTTTCTTATTGTGAGAAAAGTTGTTTTTATATTTTGTGTTGTCTGGAGAATTTTATTTAATTTTTATAGAGTTCTGTGTGTTTTACAGTTTGGCTCTGAATGTAAATTAAATGTTTAAAATGATTACCATTAGTATCAAAGGTATGTACAGCAGGAGGTTCAGCTGATGGAAAATAAAATTCCTATTTTTTGAACATCAGAGAATCCGTGTCCTTTTGTCCAACAACAGAAATGGCTAATTACAAAAAGCACCTCACGACATCTTCTAAAATGCTGAATGAAGCTGAAGTTAGTTCCCATTTCTGTTCCTGCTTAGGAAAGGGCAATTCCAAAGAAATGTTCCACTCCATGAGCATTTTTAATGTGATACTTTTAGAAAATTACAACAGCTGTACTATTCAAACCTGGATTAGACAGGCTAGATTACAGTTTTTTTTCGATTGCTAAAACTCAAAAAGCAAAAATGAGGCACAATTTTCACAACCTCTACTTCTGTTCCTAATCGCTTGACTCAATTTATCACTACTTAAGATTTCCTTATCATATTAGAACTCTGATTTTCCTTCTTCACTCTGATGTCAATTTCACATTACCTTGCTGTCAAAACACAACACACACTTTTCAGGTTTACACACACTTCTCACATAAATTCTCAAAGCTTCAATCAACAACACACAAATATTCAAATCTCTAAACTTTCGGGTCTGGCGAGCAATTTGCAATCAGGGACTGCAGCATAAAAGTAAGTTTCCACAAGGCTACCCAGGTGTAGGGATGGGTACCTTTGACATTTGAATCGATCCGGTACTAATTCCCGGTACCTACGAGTCGATACCGGTACTTAACGGTACCAATTTTCGATACTTTTGAGTGTTTATTATTTTAATTCTCTTTTATAATTAAATATATATTTTTCTCAATATATAACCATATTTGATAAATATCACGATAAATAACATACAAGTTTGTATTTTAACATCGTCCTTGTAGTTTTATAAGCTGATAATTAAACTGAAGCAAACATCTTTACTGTGAACTAAATTTACTGTGTATCTTCATTCCTTTTGCCGTCCTTTTTCATTTGATTTTTCCTACTGGGAAGTTAGAATTTCCGAGGAGAAAGCGAACGCACCATTAGCTGGTAACGGTGGCAATGGAAGCTAACATATCAAGCTAACGTTATCTTTAACAGTTTATTTAGCTGCTGGAGCAGATTAAAACGATGATGCCTCAAACTTAGATCGTTGTCGCTGGTTTTACCTTCATCCATTCACCCGTCGCATTTAGTAAAGTAAAGCCAAACTTTAGAGCGCGTTCATGTTCTTCTAGTCGGAAACTCGGAGTTCCGAGGAGAAAGCGAACGCACCATTAGCGAAACGGAAGCTAACAAATCAAGGTAACGTTATCTTAAACATTTTATTTACCTACTGGAGCAGATTAAGATGAGGCTGTCTCACTTAGATCGTTGTCTGTCGCTAGTTTCATCACCCAGTTACCCATCACATTTAGTGAAGTGGACCCAAGCTTTAGCGTGCGTTCTTTCTACCATGCTTGCTCTGTTTACAACGGGCTCGCAGGGACCGGCAACATAACGCTTTTGCGCATGCGCAACTGTCTTGGCAGTACCGAAACGAGGCACCGTTTGAAATGACGTGAATCGGTGTTCGGTCGGTTCTATGGAATTCGGTCGGTACCTTAAAAAGTACCGAATTCGGTACTCATCCCTACCCAGGTGTATGAGTGGTTTCAGGACCACCCACGGTTTTTCATTTTATACCTTCCACCTTATTCCCCCTTTCTTAATCCCACTGAGGAGTTTTTCTCAGCCTGGAGGTGGAAGGTGTACGAAAGGAATCCACAGAGCCAGGTCCCACCACTTCAAGCCATGGAGGAGGCTTGTAGAGACGTGGCCTTTGAGGCCTGTCAGGGCTTCATGAGGCACTCGAGGCAGTACTTCCAGCGCAGTTTGGACCAGGAGGACAGTGCCTGTGATGTTGATGAGGCCCTCTGGCCAGACAGAGACCGGTGGCATGATGCCCCATGATTATGCCCCATGAATATGCTTGGGAGGGGGAAGGGGGGGGGGGGGGGGGTCTAACTGTAAAAATAAAATGTTGTGTCTCAAAATTTGGGTGGGGTGGGGGTGGGGGGCTAACTGTAAAAATAAAATGTTTTGTCTCAAAATTTGTGTGATGTCTAATGTTTTGTCTCAGAGAAAAGTGGTCACAGTCATACATTCATTGTGTTCCATTTGGACGATTGTGTTTTCAGTTTTGCTCTTCAGTGTTCTTTCCATGCTTGGTAATGTTCACCCAACGGCTACTTGTGTTCAAGCAATGAATGGTATGTGTGTGTCATGTGAAAATGTGGCTGTGTTTACCAAATGAAAACACGTGTTCCATTTTGGGAACATGTTACGATATGTGATGGCAGGGTTTTGTTGCAAAGGGAAGCCACGGTTTAGGAATTTGTGTGTTATGTTTGGGGTTTTGTGTGTGCAGTTTTGAAAGAACATACAGTTTTGAAAAATGCGTTTTAGCAATCGAAAAAAGCTGTAATAGAATAGTAAAATATTAATAAATATGTCTCTGCATTTTAGCAGTGCTACTTAAAATGAAATAATTGTGAAAATCTTCTCCCAATGATGTGATTTACGACTATTCAAATAAACACTAATTTGATTTGACTATAAATTGGACATAACCTCAAAGTTCTATTTGTATTGTCCTCCATGAGATGCTGTTTGTAAAGTTACACAGTTAAAATTAACAATAATGTTGGTTATTTAGCCTGTCATATGAGAAATTACAAGGGAATTAATATTTCAAAGTCATTGTTTATTCATTAAGAAATGTTTCAACTTCAAACTATTTGGTAAAACATTTAACATTTATAAAAACATGTATATTTAGTTTGCAAGTGAAATATTTAGTTAAAAAGTGAAATATTTTGGTAAGAAGATACATATTTGGTTTGTAAACAAAATATTTAGTTAAATAGTTAAATATTTCGTTTGGATGCTAAATATATATTTAAGAAGGTAAATATTTAGTTTGTAATCAAAGTCTTCGTCGTCGTCTTCGTCTTCCTCCGCTTATCCGGGGCCGGGTCGCGGGGGCAGCATCCCAACTAGGGAGCTCCAGGCCGTCCTCTCCCCGGCCTTGTCCACCAGCTCCTCCGGCAGGACCCCAAGGCGTTCCCGGACCAGATTGGAGATGTAACCTCTCCAACGTGTCCTGGGTCGACCCGGGGGCCTTCTGCCGGCAGGACATGCCCGAAACACCTCCCCGGGGAGGCGTCCAGGAGGCATCCTGGCCAGATGCCCAAACCACCTCAACTGGCTCCTTTCGATCCGGAGGAGCAGCGGTTCTACTCCGAGTCCCTCCCGAATGTCCGAGCTCCTCACCCTATCTCTAAGGCTGAGCCCGGCCACCCTACGGAGGAAACTCATTTCGGCCGCTTGTATCCGCGATCTCGTTCTTTTGGTCATTACCCAAAGCTCATGACCATAGGTGAGGATTGGGACGTAGATCGACCGGTAAATCGAGAGCCTGGCTTTCTGGCTCAGCTCCCTCTTCCCCACGACAGATCGGCTCAGCGTCCGCATCACTGCAGACGCCGAACCAATCCGCCTGTCGATCTCCCGATCCCTCCTACCCTCACTCGTGAACAAGACCCCGAGATACTTAAACTCCTCCACTTGAGGTAGGACCTCTCCCCCGACCCGGAGGTGGCAAGCCACCCTTTTCCGGTCGAGAACCATGGTCTCAGATTTGGAGGTGCTGATCCTCATCCCAGCCGCTTCACATTCGGCCGCGAACCTACCCAGCAAGAGCTGAAGGTCAGAGCTGGATGAAGCTAGGAGGACCACATCATCCGCAAAAAGCAGAGACGAGATTCTCCTGCCACCAAACTTGACACACTCCACACCACGGCTGCGTCTAGAAATTCTGTCCATAAAAGTGATGAACAGAACCGGTGACAAAGGGCAGCCCTGGCGGAGTCCAACCCTCACTGGGAACAGGTCTGACTTACTACCGGCTATGCGGACCAAACTCACGCTCCTCTGGTAAAGGGACTGAATGGCCCTTAACAGAAAGCCACCCACCCCATACTCCTGGAGCGTCCCCCACAGGGTGCCCCTGGGGACACGGTCATAAGCCTTCTCCAAATCCACAAAGCACATGTGGATTGGTTGGGCAAACTCCCATGCCCCTCCATCACCCTTGCAAGGGTATAGAGCTGGTCCACAGTTCCACGGCCAGGACGAAAACCACATTGCTCCTCCTCTATCTGAGATTCAACTATCGATCGGACCCTCCTCTCCAGTACCTTGGAGTAGACCTTTCCAGGGAGGCTGAGGAGTGTGATCCCCCTATAGTTGGAACACATCCTCAGGTCACCCTTCTTAAAGATGGGGACCACCACCCCGGTCTGCCACTCCCTAGGAACTGCCCCCGATGACCACGCAATGTTGTAGAGACGTGTCAACCATGACAGCCCTACAACATCCATAGCCTTGAGATACCCAGGATGAACCTCATCCGCCCCCGGGGCTCCGCCGCTGTGTTGTTGTTTGACTACCTCAGCAACTTCTGCCCCCGAGATCGGACAGTCCATCCCCAGGCCTCCCAGCTCTGGTTCCTCCTCGGAATGCGCATTGGTGGGATTGAGGAGCTCCTCAAAGTATTCCTTCCACCGTCCGACTATAGCCTCAGTTGACGTCAGCAGCTCCCCATCCCCACTGTAAACAGTGTGAGCGAGTTGCTGCCTTCCTCTCCTGAGGCGCCGGACAGTTTGCCAGAACCTCTTTGGAGCCGATCGATAGTCTTTCTCCATGGCCTCACCAAACTCCTCCCACGCCCGAGATTTTGCCTCGGCAACTGCCACTGCTGCACCCCGCTTGGCTATCCGGTACCTGTCTGCTGCCTCCGGAGACCCACAGACCAGCCACGCCCTGTAGGCCTCCTTCTTCAGCCTGACGGCTCCCCGAACCTCTGGTGTCCACCAGCGGGTACGGGGGTTGCCACCACGACTGGCACCGGCCACCTTACGACCACAGCTAGCAACAGCCGCCTCGACAATCGCAGAGTGGAACAAGGCCCACTCGGACTCAATGTCCCCCACTGCTCTCGGGACGTGGTCAAAGCTCTGCCGGAGGTGGGAGTTGAAGACCGTCTTGACAGGTTCTTCTGC